GTTGAAGTGGGAATTTGCGTTGAGGTGAGGCAGACCAACACGCCGAATGGCGGGTGGGTCTGCTGACCTAAGAGACGGCTAGTCGGAATACTACGTACTTACTAATGCCTACCAAGTCAGTCCAGTCTACCGCCGAGTACGGAGTACGCAGATTGCTTTCCCTTGATGATGAATTGGCTGATGTTTTTTACCGTGTCGCGTAAACCGCGAACCATTATTATAGATCTGTCAACCAAGGATATCCACCCACAAGGCTAGATACTCCTGTTCTACCTAAATATTCACCACTGGTTTTGCAGAGCATAACCCCGGATATGACTTTCCCAATGATTCAGAACATCCAAAGTTGAATCACATTCGCGAGTGCCTAGTAGGTAGCAATAACGACTTCTCTTGAGCGGCTAGGTATACTAGAGATTGTAAATGTAGTATGTAAATACCTCGAATAGATCTAGATACAATAACATAATCGGAATAATACCCAGCGCATACTGGGTAGTAACCCTTGAACGGTACGAGTAAATATTTATCATTTTCACGACCGAATTAAAAAGCTTGGCAGAAACCTTCCGATCATGTGGAGGTTAACCGTTATGTCATCCCAGTCAATCCATCGTTATTTTACCCTTCATTTGAAGTTTTACTCAAATAGGTTGTCAACCCCTTTAGGTCCTTTGTTTATGCTCACAATTTCAGCTGCGAGCTCCAACGCGCACGGTTCTGAAAATACTCGCATCTCAGTATGGCTCCTATTCGCCGATACCTCAGGATCAGCAAGTATACTATCCTCGAATGCCGGATCTACCTAGAAAACCCATCGGACACGCGATGGCTCCTCGACAGCCGGGAGCCCGTCCTTCCCCGGATATTCGCTGCCATTCGCCCTCTAGTTTTACCTAAACTACGCGAGGAGAACGAAAGGCTCTTTGCTCGGAAGAAAGGGAAACCAGTGAAAGATGTGATAGCTGAAGGTAACTATCCCTATGCTAAAACCACCGTGGACTCCGGAGAATATGCCGTTGGCTAACCATGCAATTGATGTAGATGACTTTGAGGTTTCGTTATTCCTCCGCGAATCCCGAACACGTCACTCACTCCTCACGCGACACAAGGAGTTCGACGAACCCGATAACGCATCGAGTAGAAAAGAAGGAGTAGGAAATCCACCCCGACCTACGGAAGGTTCAAGCGGAACTGCCGATGCTGGAATCTTAGTCGAGAGCGATAGCGAATCTGATATCGATCTACGCGATATCCCTCAAGCCACTGCGGAGAACGATAAGAAGGGTAAACGCCAACGAGATGTAGATGGAGCAGTTGACACCACAGTTAATCCACGCGCCTCGAAACGTCGGAAGGATGAGGAACCGGATGATAAGAAGTTGCGTTTCAGGACGAACTATGAGGGGTTCAACATCTACGGGTGGATGCTATGCTTACTCGTTACTCGCAAAGGGGACAAAATTAGAGTAAGCACGGGATCTTCGGAGTCTACGCGCCAGGCTCTAATGGAGGAGTGGATGTCCACTCAAGCCCAGGGGGATGTGGATGAAGAGCAAGATGTTAGTTGATCTAGACATTTTCGCCAGACGAAACAGGAGGTATTATACATCTGCAACCATGCCAGGCCCCGAAACTCTGTGAAGCGGCAGCCCAGCTCCAGCGCAGGATTCGCTAAGGAAAGCGAAGCCAGTGCCAAAGCCAAATATTACAGCATGGAACGAATATGAGCGGATTTGGAAAACAAGGGCTGCTTCCCGTTCATTTTCCTTTGACAGATTGTGAACATCTGATGAAGGCGAATTACTACGATGTTGGGTAGGAATCTCTCGGCAGCAAACTTTCTCGGAACCAAGCCAGGGAAATATTGCTCTTTAGCACGGCAGCCAACTGAGAGCAGCCCATATGACACACATCATTGGAATTGATAGCAGCGACTGTTTGTTCACCACTCCATTACTTCAGCAGAGATCAAGTCGATCTTGTTTATCTTTTCTACCACATGGAAGATGGATATGATATGCTCAGCCACACATGAAGAGTGGTAGTTCTTTACACAGGCACGACAAGGAAAACGCTGAAGCAGAAATCGCGTGTACATGATGCTTTTGAAAGACTCCCTCTTAAATTGACCAGTCTCTTAAACTACGTAGCTACCTTGGATAAGTCTGTACAGAAACCCCAAAGATCTACTAACAGTCTTTAGAACATGCACGTTATAATAATTAGCCGTCAAGGTCAACATACAGCCACAAGGGAAATGTTGTGGTAGCAAAACGTGCGGCCTGGAAATAGTTTATTCTTTGTTTAATACGGGATATGCAACATGTGTGTGTGTGTGTGTGTGTATGTATTATTCACAAGAGTAGTGGGTACTCCTTTCAGTGAACATCACTAGTATGAACGAATCTCGTGATACCACCACTATTGATTTGTTCCAGGAAGCCCTATGTAGATTCTGTGCACTTCTGAGTAAATTTGTTTATTTAAGCACCTGTGAGGTCCTATATTCGAAATTTGTTCAGATTCCTTGCTCTCTGGCTTAAAGTTCCACATCTTGTTTTTCAGATTTATATATAAAATACTTTAAACATGCTAAATGCCTCACTAATTGACATATTTGATCTGCTGCGCTATAAACCGTTGCATGGCGAACCTCAGGTATGTTCAGACTCACCCTTGCTATAAATACTACCTTTCAAATCCATAAGACCATGAGCATCTGCACAATCGCTTCATGCCATCTATAGAAATTGCCAGTACCAGTCTACTTCGAGATCTTACTACATCGCGTTATGCAAATTTCTAAATAGCCCCATCTATCCAAGCACCTAGGGGGTCTAACGTCCACTCTCACCCTCCGTGTTCCTTGTTATCAATCGTATAACTCATGGTTAGCCCATTCCTGTTAGTCTTCATATACGGTACGAAAGTGACATCTCTCGTGCTGTCTGTTCTCCTGCGGGATCTTCTTTATACACGGTGCGCTTTCAAATGGAACGTGGATCATTCCTAGCGATATATACCATCTACAAATTCCCTCAAACCTTCAACCACATCCACCACCGGTCCTCTCGGGCCATACACCACACAATTTCCAGAACCCACCTGGTCTCCATATTGATCTACAATACTTTTTATTGGGTTTCGCAGACGCACATACTTCAGCACAGAACGATGTCTGTAAATGACCCTAAAACTGGATATACTTCCCAAATATTTCACATCCTCATACCAATCCAATACTCTGCAGGGTCTAATTAACATAATATGATACAACTTGGTTTCTGGAGAATGTTCATCATTCGAAAGCCCCACTTGACCTTGATATCTCATTAACGTGCTGCTCTCAGGCTGGTTTCTGGATATCTTAGTTGTAGATCTTAAGTACAGTTGATTAGTATTGGTTTAAACTGAATTCATTCCTTGGAAATTTTGATCATAGTTCTCACTAGGGCTTACCGATATATTAATATTCCAAACTAAGTGAGCTTCTTGGTCGGTGGTGGTACGGTCATTAAGTTGATCATTAAAATAATGCAAAGTCCATGTAGTCGGGGTTTGTACCAGCAATTTAAGAATATCGATCAGGATGTGTGACTAAAATTGAAGAGGAACATATCTAGGAGTAGCACAGTCAATCAGTGCCAAGGTCAAGCTAAATTGGACTCTAATGAGTAAGCCAAATGTTGCTTCTAAAAGCAACTATGATGATGAGCCACGTTGATTTGCCCCCTGAAAAGTATATGGCAGATGGTATTAGGATGTGAAAGACGAAAGAAGAGTATAACGGATCAAGAGAGGAAGTTATTAGTCCCTGGGGAGAGAGTATTAGGTATTGAGATTTTAAGCTGGGTCTCAGCTCCTTTTATACAAAGAGGAGCGGCGCCGTCATTATTTATCGTTTATCATTATCTCTTCTTACCTAATGTCATCATGATTTGAGGCGTAGCAGTGCCTCTGGAGGTTATAAGGGTTGAGGATAGTTATAAAGGCGACCAAAGAAAAGAAATCTTGAAACAGAAGGATGGTATTGGTTCATGTTCTTTGATCGGCCTAGACTTTTATGGTTTAATGTTTTTTAGGAAATGCTTCGGGCTCTTTCTGAATGGTCTAGCTTGAAATGTGAATCACGATTTAGCAGCCCAACAGCACAAGAGTATGTACAGAGAAACTAACTAGAATACCTCCCGAATCACCCCTCCGATTATGTGAGCGATAGCTACAAAAGAGACCAGGCACTGATGTCATGTCATTCTTTACAGAAACTGGCCTTCAATTTAACATAGCCCTTTATCTTAGCAGTCATTCAACCGGTGGTTACAAGGCGCCATATCCCTCCAGTAACCGGTGCTGGACAACTCCGACCATCCAACATTGTAATCATAATCTAGACAAAACGCCAGCCCGCCACCTCCAAGACGATGAGAGAGGTAACACAGTAATCGTCTCACCTCACACGAATGACCACCGGAAGGGGACACATAATCGTCATGTCACCAGGCACCGTATGACCTCTACATACAACTTGGTAAACCAACGCCCAGCATAAGTAACCTGTGTCCTATTCCACAACAACAGAACGACGTGGCCGAATGCATCCATCGCATGGTATCAGTCACCTTTAATATACAGCCGTGCCGTGCAACTCAACCACCCCCAAGCCCAGCATCAGGTAAAGTGACTAAGACGAATGCATATATCGCATGGTGTGCGCAGCGCTCTCCCTCGCAACTTTTCTCATATACGTACTCTTTCCTGTGTAACGCATATCAATCCCAAGTTAACTGACATGCATACTTGGACATGGGAAATATATTAAAATCTTTTTTCTTCTTGGAATTAATCACCTTTC